TGCATACAAGCACCAGGCAATAGAATTTGTTTTAATAGCCATCAGTCCCACTCAATTTCACGTTTTTATAAACAGCTATTCAAATTCCAATGTAGCGTCCGTATCATATTTTTTTAAAAAACTCAGCCAGTTAATAGGTTATTAAACCGAGCCATAACAATTCACAGATAAATATTGGAAGCTTAAACAACGTCATCTCACCGTGACAGGCATATAAAAGGTGAAATCAATACGGTCGTCAAGGGAGGCCCGAGAACGACTTTACTTGTTAGCGCAAAGCCTTAATCTATGCTGCCCACCCATCCACCCCCAAACTCTGACCAAAGGATATCTCCGCGGTGAGGTAGGAAAGCCATGAAATTGGTGGGTTGGGACAATTCCAGTTGCTCCCACAAGCTCTCTCTCCTCACACAACTGACTGAACCCTTCCACACCCATACCAGAAAAAACACCCAACCCACCGAAGCCATCCCCTCCCGACCCTTTCCAATATTTTCCACCATTAAAACCACCGCCGCCCCCCCCCCAGCCTTCCCCATGCCCTGCCCGCATCCAGCCCGCTAGCCCGCACCCTCTCCTCTAAAGTGGTCACGGTCCGTTCCACCAAATTCCACAGCCAGATGGGTACGTGCTGCCACCCACACGCATGCAAGCACGTGCGCTCGCACAGACACACACACGCACACATCGGTGTTTGAGCACGCACGTACACACCGGCGTGTACGCACGTGTGCGTGCACGCCCGTTTGGACGCACGCCTCATTACGCAAGAAAAATGGCAATCAGACGGAAAGATAATCACTGGCTTTCGCTGGCCGCTGACAATTATTCTGCTCAAAATAATGCACGGGCTGATGTGCCGTAATTGGCCAAGTGGCAGGCTCTTACAGTCGGCTGCAATAATTTTCGGGACTTGTGCCAAAACACCTGCAAAACAGTCAGACCTCTGGGTGCAGGGAAAAGAATCGGCATGCCAGCCCACATCAACAGCCGCATTGGGTGGATTTTATTTGGCGACACTTTAATAGGCTACATTTGTAACTTGCCATCTCTCACGTTTATTACGAGCCCTCTGCCTACAACAATTGTGCTAACTTCCCTTTGGAATTTTATTTCGACATGCACATAGGACGTGAATGCATCCATGTGGACTTTAACATTTATTGTAAGCTACAGCAATCCAGGATTACGACATTAGACGGTAGACCAACAAATAACCTAAAAAATGTTTGCCCCCCTCCAATTGTGCTGTCGAGAGATGAAGAATCCATTCGGGATATTTCACAGCATTTTTCCCCTGATTCAGAAAAACAGCTACAAATTATATTTTTCACAGAAATTCTCCGAAAAATTCCTTCAAGTGGCCTTGTTATCCTCTTCCACTCTTCTATGAGACTGCCGCATGGCGTTTTAATTGATATTTATAATTATCAGGGCTAGAATCGACCCAATTTAAGCACAAACACTGCATTTCATATCATGCTCTTATTTTGTGTGGTCACTGGTTACCAGGGCTGTGACAATCCATTCACAACACTGAGAACTCCGTTTAACCGCCAGTGGCTGAAACCTAGATTCAAACCTCAAATGGTGCCGGCTCAGTGCTCTGACCTATGATCCACCTGGGTTAACTTTTTTTATTCATATCATTACAATGGAAACAATTTAAACCAAAAACGTTGATTAAACAATCTCAATCGTGATGTGTTCACTACTGATAAAAAACAGAAATATAACCGAAACACCTTTGATATTCTTCTTTGGTTCTTTCGGTAAAGTCACGTAGAATGAGAATAAAATAATAAATTGATAAAATAAAATAACACAATAATATTCTCACGACGTTTCGGCCACAGCACAAGCGGCCTTCATCAGGTGAAGGGACGCTTGTGTTGTGGCCGAAACGTCGTGAGAATATTATTGTGTTATTTTATTTGATCAATTTATTATTTTATTCTCATTCTACGTAACTTTACCGAAAGAACCAAAGAAGATGAATCCTTGCAGTCACGAAAGCTTTAAATCGAAACCTTTGATATTGGCAACACAAACTAACAAGCCACCAAATGGCACTCTTTTGTAATAATTTTTAATCACGTGCAATAGTTGATTTTGAATATTAAAAACGAGCACTGCGCGGAAATACACGGCCGGAGTGGAGGGTGGTTGGGAGGGGCGTGACGTCGGCACGCGCGAACCCGGCTCTACGTCACCACGCAGATGTGCCACAGGGCACTTGCCCACCCACCCGCCGGCCTGCCAGCCAGCCAGCCAGCCAAACTTTTTTTTAAATAATATGGTATTAAAATTAAATGTCACTGTCAAGCCTGGGTCACGGCTTAGCACAGTGAGCACGGTGGCCTTGCTGCTGGAAACTGAAAAAAGAAGGCAAAGCCGACATTTCATCTGCACCCCCCCCACCCCTACTGTAAGCATTCACCGGGTTGCTGTTATTGCCAATTTAATCAACAACACAGGCCACGAAAGTGATTCTTGTTAATGCAGGAGACATGAGCTACAACTAACGACTAAAAATGTAATCGATTAATGGTCATGGGGCAATTTATAATGATTCGATTCGTCACTAAGAATGGCACAAATGATATATAAACGCATGAACTGACAACAACTTTTGTTTTGGCCACAGACAGCCCAAGTACGTATTCACATTTTAGGGTATGTAATAGTTTTTCATGGTGTTTAGGACAATTCTGTTTCAACAGAACTTCTCTACACTGTGTGAAACACATTATGGCAGTCTAATGACACAATCATTCCATATTGAATAGGTTACTGTATACATTATTTGTACAATAATATTTTTTAAATAATATTTCACCGAGTTTCCTAGGCTTTTTACCCGCAAGCTGTTGACGTTAAAAGTCAAACCACAGGTATTTCTACAAGCCAAAACCCACACACTCCCTTACATAAAGTAAGGACACGCCCCACAGCACCCACTCTCTCTCCGTCTCCCTTGAAACCACCTCATCCACCTCCCAAAACCACCTCTCCCACTACACCCCCCCACCACCGCACAAAGCCGCCGCTAACCAACCCAAACCATTCCACCGACGATAGCAATCAAAACCTGGCGGCGACCAATCACAGCGTTGCGCCATCAACACTGCTGGCTTTCTATTGATTAGGGCTGGAAAGCTGCTCACCCAACCCATAATCTGCTTAGATGAGATAGGAGATTACCACGTGCCAGCTGACATTTATTATTATTACTACAACAGAAAATATATTTTTAAGGCTCTCTACTTTTCATCTGCGCGTGCAATCTCCTTCTCCGAACAGCAGTAGTAAGAGTGACACCGTGTCCGCGTGTTCATCTGCAGCGGTGTGTGACATTTCAAAGTGTGCCAGGAAGTGGTGATTAATTACTGTGCGGGTTTTTTTCTTCTCTCTCCATGCGTACGCCTGACTCCACAAAAAAAAGCACGGTGACATGTGGCCTTGACAGATTTACTTGTGTCCACTTGCCCACGCACAACCGTAGGTAGACTATGACATAAAAAAAACAAACACAATTCATTGCCGGGGATGGGCACTTCTCTATGTGTGCGTCACACAACATTAAACGTGTCACTGTGGATGTCACTGCACCTAAAAATAACATTGGACAGTCGTGATAATAATTGCTATCAAATTAGCATCACCCAGCTATTTTATTACTAACCTGCGGCAGCACAGTTAGTAATAAAATAGTGTACTTATCGCTGTACTTTAGTTTAGCCAGTTGTTGGACCAGTTGAGCAGATTGATTTCCATTGTCTACTCATTGATGACACAACTGACAATGCATGTCGAGGCTATGGCTGCCAACCCTCCTCCTCCCTGATGGGTTCGTGCCATTTGAAATCATCACTGTTCACAAACAATTCCTGATTTATCGCCAGGTTTGCTTATCATGGCGCAAATGTTGCTGGCACAGACCTGGCGTCCCCTGTATGGAGGTGGTATTACTCGCGTGGAGGTGGTGTCTCTACTGCAGAGGTGGTGTCCCCAGCGTAGAGCTAGTGTCCCCAGCGTGGAGCTAGTGTCCCCAGCGTGGAGCTAGTGTCCTCAGCGTGGAGCTAGTGTCCCCATCGTAGAGCTGTGTCCCCAGCGTGGAGCTAGTGTCCCCATCGTAGAGCTGTGTCCCCAGCGTGGAGCTAGTGTCCTCAGCGTGGAGCTAGTGTCCCCAGCGTGGAGCTAGTGTCCCCAGCGTGGAGATAGTATCCCCAGCGTGGAGCTAGTGTACCCAGCGTGGAGCTAGTGTCCCCAGCGTGGAGCTGGTGTCCCCAGAATAGAGGTGGTGTCCCCAATAGAGGTGGTATTCCTGGCATGGAGTTGTCCTCAGCTTGGAGCAAAGCCACCCTACATATCTTAAGCTCAAAGTCTCCCATTTATGTATGCTGTGGCATTCATCGCAAGAAAAGTAGCAAATAACGTGGGTGGCATTAAACTTGTTTTTAAATGTAATAATTGCACATCAAATACTGCTTTACCCCTTATTCACACTTTCAATCAATTGTTTAGCAATTTCGTTTTAGAGCAATGAGGTGTATCCTTCACGAAATGGACGTTGCCGTACGCCAATAGGGCGAATAAGTCGACAAAAAAAGGTGGGGCAGCTTCATAAACGCACGACAAACACACACACAGTACTCGGCGTGCAGTGGCGAACCCAGATAACATTGCAAGGGAGATAAACATGTCTAAATATGTATTAACTAAAATATTTTTTTTTTACATTAATGACAAATCTCAACAGTGGTCTATGACATACAACGACCTTCTAGAAATTTCAGAGGAGGGGGGGGGTGTGTGCAACTGCCCCTTTTACCCTCACCCAAACTCTGAGTGCACCTGTGCTCACACACACACATCCAGACAACAGGATGTACACACACACACACACTCATGTACATCCAACGCGTGAACGCACGCTTGCGCACGCGGGCTTGCGCGAGAGCGCTATCGGATGAGGAAAAAATGGGGGGGGGGGTTACCTGTTTGTGCATCTCGATGTTGAGGCCATAGGACATCTCGTAGTACTGTCAAAACAAAAACGGGAGAAAGGGGGTTGGGCAGGGTGAGGGAGGAGGAGGGGACGGAGGATGGAAATGGATGGCGGGGGTTGGGTTAAGGGTTTGGGGGGGGGTGGAGGACGGAGACATCAGTTAGCGGCACTGGAGAGCAATCACGCGTGAAGCAACACAAAAGCATCCCTTCAGCCACACACAAAGGGGGTTGTGGCAAGGCTAGAGGTTGTTTGGGTGAAGCGAGGGTGCCGGGATGTACGATATGATTTGGCTAAGACAGTTTTTTGAGGTTTCAAATGTTGTAGGCGTATGAGCTATGCACGTGTTGTGTTTTTGTGTGCGTGCGCTGCGCTTCGAACCCGGCGACCCCGAGTTCGATTCCCGCTCACGGCCGCAAACACCAGTGATGATAAATCTGAACCGGTCCTGGGCTTCCCTCTACGTCGACTCAGCCTCAAATAAGTTCCTGGTAGGGTGTGTAAACACCGCCACCCACCCCCTGGTGTGCCGTGCCGGCCTTGATCGGTGCTCGCTAACAGCACTTTCCCCAAAGGTCTGTTAAGACGATCCTGGGGGCTCTTTGTGGAGAGCTGGTGCAGTGGTTAGTGGACTGCATTAAGAACCCAGCGTCCAGAGCCCAATTCCGGGCCATGGCTCATATCGGCGGTGAGTGATATGCAAGCCGGTGCGAGGACTCTCTCCCTTAACAAAACCTGCCCTTACCAGCTTGGTGAAGTATGGTCACACAATCCCTGTAATGGAAGCCGTTATCCAGAAGTGGATTGGGGAAAAAAAGGTCCTTAATTATTAATATTATTTAAAATGTTATAGCGAATACCATGAAAAATCAGTCATCGCTACAGTTGTGACAGACAAAATAAATATTAAATGGTTTTAAACAATATTAAAATTATGCCACCGGACATTCTTGGCAACCACGTGAATGTTTGAGCTGATAGGCTATCTGCTTAATTGATTTTAATGTAAGTGGTCAGTGTGTGTGTTTTTCAGGTTGGGTTGACATTTTGAGAATGAATACAGCATTTCCTGTTTTTTTAAAATTCTGCTAAAATTGTACATAACTCATGATAACGAACTGGCCAAATGGCCAAATATGTAATCTCCGTAGAGGACGTTTTTGAAAGAATGCAGATACTCAATGAGGCTGTCATTGATAATATTGTCATTATAATATGGTTATATAGTGTACAGACTACATTTCTATGCATGCAAATAAGTTCATTTACAATGTGATGGATATTTTGTATAACAGCGTACATGTATTGTTTCAGTATAATTATGGGTTTTGTATAAACTGCATACATATGGTATGCCGTATCACTTTAGTTTGTAATTATAAATTTTACGAGGCAATAACTTACATCCAAGACCCAAACCTAGTGCCCTCCGACATGCAAAAAAAATCGTGAAAATCGATTTTGGCCTTGCATCCAAACGTAGGACCCTCTTAAATAAGGGTGTAGAGACTCAATATACGTTTTTTCCTTGTTCAAACGAATGACATAATCACAGTTTATTCAAGCGAGCATACACCACCCATTGCATTACAGTATTTTGTTTATTTTCTATTTCATCCTTTCTTGCGCATCACTAATTGCAGAAAATTTTCCAATTTGAGCCATGACACGGACACAGTGAGCCGCGTTCGCAGATGAATTATTTCCCCGAGTCTTTGATTAACATCCACTTCACAGTACATTGCACTTCAAACACCTAAGCATTTCCCCTGAGGGAGGTGGGATTCAAACTGTTGAACGCATGCAACGTTTTCGCCAAAAGTGAGAGGGTCACAAGAGTTCCAAGGTTCGTAAGGGAAACAAAGACGGCCGCCGATATGGTGTTGACCACGCCTGCTCATTCGCGTGCCGTGTTAGCCCAACATGTACTCTCTAACAATACCAGCCCCAACAGCTTATAAGGAACGTGCATAATGGGAGATCTGTGATGTGTGTCCACGTGTGTATGTGGAGCGGTAGTGCAGCAGTTAGCGCGCAGCATTACGAACCTGGCAACCGATTACCTGAACCGGTCCTGGGCCTTCCCTAGGTCGACTCAGCCTCAAATTAGTACCTGGAGCGGTGTGTAAACATCGCCACGAGGGAGACAAAGGTTGCCGGGCGTGGTGCTGGCCACCCACCCCCTCTTGTGCCGTACCGGCCTTTATAAGTGCTCGCTAACAGCACTTGCCCCAACAGTCTGTTAAAGGCTAAATGTGGGATCTTTGTCTTTGTGTGTGTATAGAGCGGTAGTGCAGTGGGTGTGAACACCCCACTTCAAACTTGGTGATCTGCGTTCAATCCCTGGCCATGCACATCAGCGACACATAGTATCTGAAACTGTCCGGGCGTCCCCTAAGTCCACTCAGCCTTTAGTGAGTGAGCGGTGTACAGCACATCAACACTGTGGGAGACCAGGGCGACGCCAGGAGTAGTACTGGCCACACGACCCTGTCACGTGCCGTTCAAGCCTTATTAGTGTCTCACTGACAGCTCCAGTCTCTACAGCATGCGAGGCAAAACGGGGTTGTTTGTCTGCGCGTGTGGAGGGACGCAAACACGTGGCAATCACGCCCTTTGGTGTCTCGAAATCCCCTGTAGCGTGTATTATTATCATTGTTATCATTACTCGTATCCGTGTCCAACCTGCGCGCGTTTGCTACGTCTGACGAGTTTCTCATAATTTACAGAAAAGTGTCATAATTGGTTTTAAGGGAAATGGGTGTGCAACGTGCGACGAGGCGCTTGTCCGCACGTTGCGGCCATCACCAGGAATGCACTGCGATTGTGACCGAAGAAGAGATGGTGATTGGGGGGTGGGAGTGTGATGGTGGAGGGAGGAATGGAGGAAGGGAGCGGAGGTGGGGGGCGTGGTGGTGGGGGGTGGTGGCCGGGTGATGGGTGATGAGTGTGCGCAATGGAGCCGCTCCGGCAAAGCCACACGCGTGCACTCAAGAGCGACGTGGGGTTTTTTTTTTCTTTCTCTCTTCCTGCGAACATAAACCCGTGTCGCTGGGCAAATAGTGGCGTGCGATATGCTCTGACCGCATCGCGACACACGCCACTGGTACTACTGGGACGAATGGTAGTACTAATGGTAGTACTGTAGTTGTGGCGGTGGGGCTAGCAGTGGCGGTGATATTGGTTTGGTGGTTGTGGTGTTGGTTGTGGTAGTCCCGGTGGAGGTGGTGCCGGTGGTGATATTGGTGGAAATGGTGGTTGGTGATGTCGGATGTGGTAGTGGTTTGGGTAATGGGGGTGGGTTGTTGGTGGGGGTAGGAAAGATGGTGGTGAGAATGTGGAGGGAGAGGAGGATGGTGCGTAGGCGGTGGGTGTGAGTCGCGATTGGTGATGGTGCTTGCGCTGGTGGTGGAGAAGTGGTCAGCCCGGTGGCCTCCGTGGTTGTGGACTTAAGGGCGGAGGGCGTTACCGAGGGATTGTGATAACAGCGGCACACAACGACAAATGGGCAGGGAGCCGCGCTAAGCAAACTGGGTGCGAACATTCGCCAGAGGGCGAAACTAAATCCGCGTGCTTTGGAAGAGCCCGAACCCCAAACAGAGAGAGGGGGGAAATAATAATCAAAAGAAAACCCAATAATTAGTCAAATAACTACCCCCCCCTCCCACGAAAAAAGAATGTTTCACACAAAACTTCCAGCCTCCAAAAATGACGAGGCAAAAAGGTCGAAATAGTTGCTAAAAAAAACTATTTAACAAATACAAATGTAGTCTCTCCAAGGAAAGTGTCAACAACGTTCGTAAAAAATGTCACCACCGAGCGCTGCGTCACGTAACAAACGTGACCTTTTGGCAGCGGCGGGATGGTCGCGAATTTGAGGCACAGAGATGATCAAATGTTCAAAGTTAAGCGCGTACGTGTGACACGCGGGCCCGTATCTTGCGCGCGAGTACCCGTGTAGTTGCGTTCGAGCCAGACGTGTTTGCGCCCATGCAGGTCAACGAGTTACTCAACTGTTGGTTAACGCGCAGTTAAAGCCAAATGTGTCTCTTGTGTGTTTAAGTCCTCTTATTGTATTCTTGATAGCTTGGGTTTGATAGCTTGGCAACTAACTGCTGGGGCAGAACAAAGCCTCTGTAATCTACTGCGTGTTACATAATATACTCTATACTTAATCGACCCAATGTACATACCACACATTACACTGAAGATTTGCATTCTGGAAATAATACACTACGAAAACACCGAATGGCTTATTTTGAAAATAACGCGTGTTTATAGTAAACGATAACTTAATGAAAATAACGTTCGTTCCTCTATTTATCTGATGCTGCATGAATGCCTCCTCATACTGTCAGTCATGTGGGTTGCTTAACCATATTTTAACCGCGTTGGTCAATGCAGGTTAGTCAAGGGGTGCCCAGGACTGGCTCAGATATAATTTGCCACCGATGTTCGTCGTGGCCGGGAATCTAACTCGCCGAGCCGGGTTCACAAGTGCATGGTACTAATCACTGTGCCACCGCTCCACCGCCAGTATATATCGTAAGCCATCTAGTGCGATGAATTCATATTTTAAGAGAACTGTGCACTATTTCATACTAGAATCTTGCCAGTCATCTTATATTATGCGGTACATTGTTACTCAGCCGCAACCACTTCAGTATTAATTTATCTTCAAAAGGCCAATCAGTGTGTGTGCGCATGTACGACTTAAAACATTTTGATTGCCTAACCGTACCCAGTAACTATTACCGTCATTCTACTTACAGGCAGGCTTTTGCGAGATTCAGAGCTCTGGAATTAATTGGCTAAGCGACCACAAACGCCAAGCCCATATATATCACGGCAGGATATGTATCATATAATATATACTGTCGGTTGGCACCAGTTGGCATAGCGGGGAGAACATCTGCCATTCATCGGAGTCAATCAACCCACAACACCTAGGTCTGTCTCGTGACCTCCTGCCAACTAGCCCTTTGACGCTTTCACGTGGTCTCACAGTGCACCCAGTCTGGCACAAGTGCTGTGGCGACATCAAAGTGAGGAGTAACAGCTGTTGTTGCTCTGGATGATACAGTGAGCGACCGTGTTACACACCACTACACAGCAACAAAAACAAAATAAACACAGAGTCTGCCCCCCTACACGGCCCCTCTCCCATAGCCAAGCAGACTTGGGGGCACGTGCCATTCACCATTACGAGCCGTGATCAATCCACTTTTGTATGTATGTACGTTGAACTTCTTTCGCACCGCACGTAGCCAACCGTGCCAATCGGAGGTGCGGGGGGAAGGACAACACTCTTGAAGGCCTCCCCAAGTCGCCAGTAACACGGACACTCACACACACACACATATATACCAAACACGTGCTCCAAACGTACGAACACGCGCGCACAACAGACCACATCCCTCAGCTCATTAAACTTTTAACGGAGCGCGCAATATCCGCGCAGCTGAATTATTTATGCCCGTGGCTTTTCCTCCTGCTCATCATTGGTTTGCTCACCATGACATAGTGGCGTTGCATCTCCGTCTTCTCGCTCGCCAGCTTCTCGCATTCCAGTTTCAGGCTGTGGGAACAACATGCATCACCATCTTTAGCACGCATTGCACGAGCACCAAAGACAAAGATCCCCCATATAGACAAAACACACTTTTTGGGGCAAGTGGTGTTCGCGAGAACGTGTGAAGGCCAGGCACGGTACAAGAGGGCCAGCACCACGCCCGACCACCTTTGTCTTCCCACACGTACTGATACAATATGGCTTGACTTGCCAAATTAGCTGTATAATTGATCATAGTGCTGCTACACTAGTGTGTGCGTTTTAACCCAGGGCAGTATATATATTTTAGAGGGGGTGTAGCCACAAAATCCGAAGTCTCACATTCTCGGACCGACGGGGGCCAAGTGCTGTTCGCGAGCACCCTGCAATTAGGGTCGTTAGGAGCGCACGGGGTGTCGCCGTGGCCAGCACCCCCCCCCGCCACGCCGTCTTTGTCTCCCAAGTACTGAGTATTATTTAACGATGCGTCGACCTAATAATGTACGGGAAAGTCTCCCCAGATCAGTTCAGATTTCAAGTCGCCAACTGATGATACCCATATGGCAGGGACAACAACACCAGCTCAGGTAGGTATAAGCCTGTGGTTTGTTGGCGTAGCGTGCCCGATAACTACTGTGGCACGAAACACACTCACACGCGGTACAAACAACGTTGGTGGGGGGGGGGGTCAGATTGCCGTGTTGACGAAACGTCTTAAGATCAATGAAGCATGACGCCTTGCTTGGTTGTAGGCTTATCGCCCAATTATTGTAGACATGGCCACGTTTTCGCTAACATTGGGACGGAACGAAAACTGTTCGCCGATAAGACAAAGACAGACAGACCTCTTTACCCACACGGCGTGCACCTTGAGCTGGATAGTATCGCAGCGTATTCAATTATTACCACGCTCTAAATTATTTTGGGCCACAACCCAGAGTTAAACGTGATGTCGCCCCCATCCCAACCCCCATGTCTTCGTATGACACGCAAATTCTGCAGTCGGTTGGTTAACTTGGCAGCTTTCGCCAAAACGCGAGAAAATCCATTAAATCATCAACGGTCACTCGCCAAAGTGAGTAATCGTACCGACCTACGCATACAAACTTTTCCTCTTTTGAAACTGCGCGTGCACGTACACACACACACGTAAGCAACAATGCGGCCACACCAGCCAGCATCGTGAGTACACACTTCGAAGCCATCCGTGTGTGTGGCAGCATTATAGCCTCGACGTGCGTTCAGGGACGATTCCGTCTTCGGATACAGATATAGTCAATCCGTCCCACATGGCTTGCTTGATTAAAGCACACAACACAGCAGCCACCCCCCCCCCCCCTCTTGCTATTTAAAGCGCCGAGGAATCGCCTTAAGAAGTCCCCCCTGTGAGCGTCGTGTTTTACATAAACACACAAGTTGCTATAAACCGATGGGGCCACTTCACGCCCTCTGTACCGTATATATAAGGGTGAATGTGTGTGTGTACTGTATACGTTTGTGGATAAACATGCTTTATAGTGGTACTGGCCACAAACACGAACATTATTAATTGGTGTGCCGTACCGACGTTAATCGGGGCTCACTTTAACAGCAGCACTTGCCCCATGAGTCCGCTAAACGCCTTTGTGTAATAGAGAAAAAAAAACGGCGGCGAAGCGATTTACTTCTTCGTACGTTGCGACCACCAGATCACGATCACGGCGAACATCAGTGGGCGAGTGAAATCTGAAACGGTCCGGTCTCGTTGCCTCCCTTCCACCTCCCCCCCCCACCCCAAGGTCGACTTCCTTATTGTACGAGTAACCATTTCGGTGTGTGTCAAACATCAGCACCGGGAGAGACAAAGGCGGCCGGACCGTGCCTCTGAACCGCACATTGTCCTCGTTTCGTCCTAAGGCGCACGCGAACAGCACCGACCACCACCACCCCCATCCCCAGCCACAACAATATCTATATTTTTTTTTTTAAAACACGCGGTTGTCTTTTGTCTTCTTTGCATCGTGCCGATAGTGGTGAACATACCTGTGATACTGCGCCTGTAGAAACTGGAACTCCTCCTTGATCCGATCGCACGATTCGGTCACCGTGAACTTAAAGGGTTGTCCGGGCTGGTGAGGAGCCTGGAGTCGCGGGCAGCCACAACCACACGCGTTGAGCCTCTCAACAAGAAACTCCTCTCGGTTCATATTGCGTTAGAAACAAAAAAAAACACCACATCGGCAGACACATACGCACCGCAAGGGTTAACGCACTCGCACGCACCGAGACACGTCAGGCCGGCCAAGCAGAGAAGGGTGCGCCGCACACCCTCCAGCAAGCAGCAGCAGCAGCAAAAACAACGCCAACCTTTATTGTACACACACACACACATATATCCATTTCCCACCGCACGGACACTTCACAAAGCCATTTGTACGTACCGGGTGTCTGCCTTGGGGGTACATCTTTGGATCTGGCCGTGGTCAAAGTTATGGCTCGTGTCGTTTTTTTTCTCAGCCTCCTGCTGTCCACCTCTTCCACGAGACCCCCTTCCTCCTCCTCCCTCCCCTCTCTCTCTGTATCTCTCCCCGCGTTCGGACGACGAGGCCGAAGAGGTTGCTGCTGCCCACGACAAGTCGCTGGTCGTATTCCACTCGGCGTGCGGGTAAAACCACCACCACCACCACCCACCCACCCACCCCCGCCGTGTCGTCTCACAAAGGCGAATGGACGGAAGAAAAGCGCAACGGAGTGGTGGAGCGGCTCTGCGCTGTCAACGAGAGGCGATCGGCGCGCTCGCCTCAAATCCCGCGGCTCAGCCCGCCCCCCTCCCTCCCTTGCCCGTCGTCTCTCCCCTCCGACTTCCTCGCTCGCCGTGGCCTCTTACTTCTTCGTCTACAGGAGGAGAGCGAATTTTGTTTTGTTTTGTTCGTTCGCACAACGTCCGTCCGCAAGGCCGCTCGCTCTCCGCTTTCCCTCCGCTCTCAGGCCGCCAGCATTGTCCGGGGCAGCAGCATGAAGTCTCGGCGTGGCGGCCGGGACCCGCGCCGGTGGGTTTGCGGCTCGTCGAGGTTTGCGCTGGATGAAGAGGAGGGATGATGAGTGACCACCGCACCCCACCCTAGGCTCTTCTCTCTCCGCGCACCTCGCTCTTGCTCTTTCTTCCCACCTCCTCCTGCTCCTCCTCCTCGTCGTCGTCGTTGTCGTCGTGGCTCCCCGTCCGTCACGTTACGCGGCGCAGTGAACCCAGCACGATCGACAACACGAAATGTCTCTTCACACCATGCCCCCCCCCGCGCCCCCCCCCGGTAACACGCACTCACATGCGTGTGCTACCGCTACTACTGCTGCTGCTACCAGCCACTATAGAACGTATCGACTTCCGATTACAGTATTACGCAGAAGAAAAGGGTGGTTAGTGATGGGGGGGGGTAGAGGATGAGTCGAGGTTAGTAAAAGGGTGAAGGGATTGGAGGATGGAAGAGGAATGAAATAATTAAGCTCCGATGCTGCTTACAATAAAATAATTAAAATAGAAACGCGCACACACACAACACAGCAGAAAACAAGGAGCCGCGCAACACGACGACGACGACGACAAACAATAACGCCAAAGCAGCCGCTCACGACGGCGAGCTAAAGCAGTCTATATCAGGGCACTAGACAAACGTCAACACTCCTCCTCTCTCTCTCTCGCGCGCTCTCTCGTCCGGACTCGCCTCTGCGGGGAGAGCGCGGCTTTCCAAATTTGGCTTGGGCTTATCGAGCGTCTTTGCGCTCCCGCGGCCAATGGATCGGTCGCGTCCCCCACGTGGGGCTCTGTCGTCGCCAGCGCTCTCCCGCGAATGGCGTCGCGAGCGCGGACGCGTCGAGGCGGCGCCTGCAGCCCGCCGAGCCTCTCACGGGTCGGCGAGCGCGCCGCGCCCGTCAATCAACTCAAGCGCCGTTAAAGCGCCGTGTCGAGCTGTCACTCAAAGTAACGTGGGGGGGAGGGGGGTGGAGGAAGAGGGGCGCGAGGAGGAGGGGTGGGGGCGGGCTCCGCCAATGGACGGACGCGCGGGGTTGCGGGTGTTATGGATGGGATGGATGTATACGGTGAGACACACACGCGGGGCGCACGCACGAATGGACGAAGGCAGACCCCCACCCCTACTCTGGGCGAAACCTCCTCCCCCCCTCCTCCTCCTTAGCCTCAGCCAGCCAGAACCCTCCACCATCTCCTCCCCCCCCCACCGACCCGCTACCCCCCACCATCACACACCCCCACCCACCACAAACCCACGTTTTTTTTCTCTCTTAGCAAAAAATCCACCCAACCCTGATTCTCGTAACCCCATCCCCCGCCTTAACCCACCACCCCCTAACACGTATAGCAGCCGGGCCAGCCAGCCCTACCTCCTTCCACCCTGTCTTCTTATACATGCCCCTACCTTCTCCGTCGGTTTAGAAAGGGGGGGGAGGGGGAAGTAAAAAGGAGCGAGTGTATGGTGGAGGGGGTGAAATCTGTTCCCACGTCGGCATGATGCCTCGTTACGTCCCTCCCTTCCTCCGCCTCTGCTTGAGTCAGGTCACCACGCAGACCCAATCAAAATACATCAGCATTCCTGCTCTGTTACATGCATTGCAATAGCACAATAACAGTGGGGGTTTTGCCTTCTTATAATCTTCAGACTCTTGTGTTTTTTTTTTTCTCCATTAGGGGCAAACACACACAGAGGGAGATGGGGACGAGTCCCGTACAATAAATCCTCGGGAGAGATTCGTGGTGGGTGGGTGTTTTTTTTCTCTCTCTTAACGCCAGAAAAAAAAACTTCTTTGAAATCGTATTTATTATATACACACCATGCACGCGTATGACCAACTCACCCGAAATGCCCCCCCCCCAGTATCGTCATATCTCGGTCATATCTCGGAAAGCTAAGCAGGTGTAAGGGGACTGGGTAATGCTTAGTTGGATTGGCGACCAATCCGGCATCAGAACGGGTTGTCCTCGAACTTTCGGGGTCTACGTGATGGAGTGGCGGATGGGCGATGCAGTAAAATGCATTGTTGGCCTGTACGTCTACGCTACCTACGTCTTTGTAACCCGCCATCACTATAACCAACTCACACTGTCCATCGTGGTGAAATATGGTCAAATATACCCCCGCTGCTAACACGGCATGGCGAGGCCCTCATCATACAACAGTGGATTGATACACAGGCCTGCTGCAACTCACACGTCACAACCCCCACAACTACGCTTATAAAGGCGAATGACTGCGTCCGTGGCTGTTTATTTAGTAATTCATTATTTATTCCGTATCTATGTACCTCTACACATTGAAACTCCCGTGGCCTCGCATATGTAATTGCCATGAGTCAGTCTCCCTTAAGCTAACCGGGAGATGAAATGACGACGTTGAGACACGTGCAACATTGCCTCTTCGCAAGGGCGACCTGGGTTACATCACTAAACACGCGAGGGCCATTACAGCAGCGCGCCGCTAGCGTGACCTGCGCGCCTCCACGCGTGAGCGCCGCGTGCAGGCGGCGTGTGCGCTTGGAGTTACCGACAGAAACGATGCATTATGTAGGACGTACGAGAGGGCAAGCCGCGCATGTCCTTCGGACAGGCTGACGTGACGCTCACATGACACTTGGCTGACCCTCACCACTCACCTGACTCTCACCAACGCGCCTAGCCATCACCATTCACCAGTTTATGGAATACTGGTACTCTAGTGGGGCAGCGGACAGGCTGTGACGCTCAGATGACACTTGCTTGACCCTCGCTAGGCATTCACCACTCACCTGACACTACTCACCAGCTATCAACTCGCATGACCGTCTATTGTTTTGTTTTATCTGCCAGAACCCCGTCGTTCTTAGGGAGTTCTCTCACCAACAAGATCAGGATAAGCCAGCAATGTATTTTTTAGCAAACCTGGCTCTGCTGATGAGACCTAGAAGGTCTAAACCCGACAATATGTTGATACTGTATAAGGCTAGGCGGCCAATAGGCCGGAAGTTCTTAAGTTTCAAATCATTACGACTCGGATACCGATTGGATTAAATAATCTATTATTGCGTCTCGCGTTTATATTGTTTCTCGTTTTTAACGATTTCAACTCAGTTTGATTCCCAGGCATGGCTAATAATCATCACTGACCAGTGGTCATGCGCCATCCTTCATCAACCAGCACTGACCAGTGCGATGAGGTATGGTCAAATGACCCCCATGACTCGCAACGTCGTGGGAAGGCTTTCATCCAGCAGCGGACTGAGAAATGTCTGTAGGCTGTTTGGTGAGTTTAGTACTAGTCTTGGTGAGCTGTGCGGTGAGTTTAATAATGGTGTTTGTTAGCTGTGTGATGTGTTTCGTAGAGGTGGGTTTTGTAGTTTTTTGTGAACACAGTATATATTTAGCTTTATCATCAAGAGGACGGGCATCATATCACCTGGGCATTGCCACTAGTAGCTTATCAATTGTTCTCACGGATTGTATGTTCGGATTGAGAAACTGGGCACACATGTGTGGCTGGTTCACGCACACGTAAATATGCGGCGTGTACTGCTGTTTGTGCTCCACGTTTGTGTAAGCGCCGCATGCAGGTGTCCTTTGATATAAAAACAACAAGGCACACAGCGGCTGAGAGCAATCAGGACAACGGCGAGAAGGAAGATATGCACACGTGTGCGTGGGTTTAAGCTATTGAGTCGAACAAAGGCAAGCGATAGCCATATTGATATGAACACGGCAATCCTGAGTTCGATTCTCAGCCGCGGCTAACGTGGGTGCCGAGTGACATCTCAACCGGTGCTGGACAGCGCCTCCCTTCATCAACCCGCCCTGGCCATCGTGAAGTATGGTCAAACACACGTGGTCAGTAACGTTAGTCCAGCGTAGACGTGACATCGACCAGTACATTACTATGACTGTATCATTAAATCATTATACTAACATAGACGTAACGATTATGATAAAAAAGCGATAAAGATCTGGGTCTGGTCAAAAAAATTCCCCCACCCCCCTACTCCCCTATGACGCGCACGGAGTGGGGAGGTGCCCCAACTCCCGCCCCCCTCTGTTCAGCAGCGGATTGACAAAGGCTGCACGTTATTATTATTCGTGTCGCCTTTGAAAGGGAGATCCGGACGTCAAGAACGGAGGGCGGAGGCTTTTGTGCGTGTGAGCCCACGCGCATTCCACACCTGGTGCCTCATAACAACAACGAAAGTGGGTTTCTCTCTCTCTCTCTTCTAAAGCGCTCCTACGTGTGCGCTATCATTCTCCAGACGCGATCGTTTTGTCTTAATTATAACGATTTCCCTCCCAACTGGATGAATAATGATTTGCCAGCGTGCTTAAATAACACAAAAAACGCAACACGTTCGTCAATAACACCGTGGCATTAAATGGGACAAAATAAATAGAATGCGACGTTTTGGGCAATAGTCCGTCTTCATGGCAGATGAAATGATATTTTACGAACCCGACAACCTGAGTTCGTTTCCCAGTCAAGGTTGACATCAGCGGCAAGAGGTACTAGATCCTGTGTTGTGCCTCCTCTGGGTCCACTCAGGATTTAATACATACCTCGCATACGAAATGTGTCAAGCCTGTACAAAATTCACCGCTGGAGACACGACAGCGGCCAGGATAGTTGATGGCCACACCAACCCACTCGTACGCTGTGGCGGCCCTTAATTGGGTGCTTGCAAACAGCACTTATCCCAACAGCCTAAAGTGACTACACCGGGCGCTTTGTCTTTGTTAATAGAAACTGAGTGAAGTAGGGCTCCCGGGTCGCTCATAATGAGACTCGGCGATGACATAATCATGCATTTGCGTGGTTTCGCCAACGCTTTCCAAACATGCCTTTGTCCTCGGAAGTATTTAATCTTCCAGAGAACTTACGCAGGATAATGACATAATTCAAACTGTTAAGAAAAGTAAGTGGGTTTGGACAGGACACGTCGCCAGGAGGGAACGACGGCTGATGGCAAAGAATAACACTTTACACCTTAGCTGGAATGGGTTACAAATACGGCACACAAAAACAACGATCACACACACACGCTGCTGTGATAATTGAGCTGTGCCTATTTGTGAACGGCGAATTGGGAGTTTAGTATAGGTTTTCTAGCCACGAAGCCATATCAATAAATAGGTGGGTTTTATGCTGAGTCGATCTATATGGGGTGGTGGGGGGGGTACAAATCCGACTCACCTGTCAATTATCCCATGTGGTGAGGATTAGGCCTCGAACCTGGCAGCTGAAAACGCGGTAACCCCTCACAAAGAACCATCCCACAATAATTATAGTCTGTCAGGGCAAGTTGTTAGTGAGTGCCTATCAAGACCGACGCGATAGACTAGCGGTCTGTGTAGCCTGCACTCAACATGCCTGACCGCGCCTGTCTTCCAAAAGATGACGCAGACCGCACAGAGTACTGTGTTCTGCAGCCGGTAATAACGTTAGAACCTAGGGGAAGCCCACACGCAGTTGATATAATTGTCACTGGCTTCGTGATGGCCACGAATCGACCTCTGGTTGCCAATACATTGAGTTCCTGGCATAATGAGCAAAGCACCGTGACATACGAAGACACAGATCCCTCGCGTACAGGCATGTTAGGACATTGTGCCGTTTGCGAGAAAATATCGAGGCCGATACGGCACATGAGCGAGTGGTGTGGCCAGCACCACACTCCATCGCATTTTCTCCCTCAAGTCCTGATGTTTACACACCACGCCAGGATATTTATTGAAGTCTGAGGCGACCTAGGGGACGTCCCGGTTAGGGGTTAAGTTACCACTTGCCAGTGATGTTATCCGTGGCCAGGAAATGAAATCCAAGTTGCACAGACCGTAGACGGTACAGTGCGCTCACCACTTACATCTGCGACTCCTCACCCTTGCACCTCAA